TACTTATAAATACTTATGTTAAACACAAGTAAATATAACGGCTATCAAGAGCTCCTTTTCATTTTGCCTAGTCTGTAGGCATCACAATGATTGTAAGCGGAAGTCTTCAAAGGAGGCAGCCCTTTCACAAGTTTCTTGGAAGATAAAATGGTGAGGTACTTGAAGTTGAGATGGGACAAGCGTCTGTGCCATAGGCTGTTTTGTTCAGAGGAAGCTTTGGACAGCAGGAAAATGGAAGAAGTTGATTGAACACTCTTCAGATCAATGGTGTACAGGTTGGAAGTTCTCGTGCATGTCAATAATGTTTTTCCAAACCTGTCCAGCACACAATATTGTCTGCCTATAAATTTCACTTCCAAGCCGCTATCACAGAACTGTCCAATGCTCAGCAAGTTATGCTTTAGTCCTTTCACATATGACACAGCCTTAATGGTGACGCTTGCACTAATGACATCCCCGTATCCTAGGATGGGAGATGAAGCATTGTTTCCGAATCTCACATTTCCTCCGTAGCATTTTGTGTAATTGCTCAGCAGTTGTTTTATTCCGGTCATGTGGGTTGAGCAGCCAGAATCCAAATGCCACACATGACCGTTCTGCAAAACAGATTAGGGTTTCCTAGGTACCCACCACAGGATGGGTCCTTCCTTATCAACAGAAAAAATCTTTTTAAATTTTTCTTTTAGCTGTGATCCAAGGTCAGCAGCTTTCTCAGATAATGTCCTTTGTTTTTCAAGTTCAGTTTTAGGAATCCATTGTTGTTTGATTTTAGGAGCAGAAGGGACACGGTCATTGCGTGTGAATGGTTGATTCGTGAGGTATGGTTTGAAAATTTCTTCTTTAGAGAGTCTTTCTAGATGTTTCTTTGAATGAACTTTAAGAGGATATTTTAAATTGGGAAAATTGTAAACACCATCTGCAGCTCTATTCATTGAATGTTTTCCTTATTTGCGATCTCTCTTCTTACTCTCATGAATAACATTCACAACACATTCACTATGAAAATTATCAAAACAGACATTTCCTCGTTTAGAAGTATATGAACTATCATTGAAAAAGAAAGGATCAGAAATAAATTCAGAATCATTCAGCTTGGGACTCAAGACTGAAGTAGAACTACAAGATTGTGACTGGGAGCTAGATCTACGTTTATTTGAATAAAAAAAACAGCATTAGAACAAGATTTTTTATTTTCAGAAAACATCTTCTTCTTTCCTTCATCAATTTCTGCTCTCTTCAGCCTCCACTCTCTTCTCTTTTCCAGTCTCCTACTCACTTCATTTCCTGTTTTAAAGGGAGACGTGGAGTGAGTGGGTGGCCTTTTGAAAATGTTAATTTTATTTAGGATTTGTTGAGACGAATCAGTATCACTAGAAGATTGAGAAGTTGTGCCAGATTGGGAACTTTCTTTTAAAATAGTCAGTTCTCTCAACAACCTCTCCCTCTCACTTTCAAAACTCTCGCGTTCCTCTTCAAAACGTTTTCTTTGATTTTCTAAGGAAATGTGTAAGTTTTCAAATTTTCTGATTAATGGAGGAATATAAGGTTCTTCTTTACTTGATCCTGAGGTTGAAAGAGACTCGGGATCTGACACAACTTCCTTTTCAGAGGGATAAGGACTAACACTCTCATCATGTGAAAACACTGATTCTTTTGTGGTATAGCTTTCGTTTAAAGAGTCATAACTGAACGGAACTTCAGCTTTAGAAGGACTTGATCTCGTTGTCTCTTCTTCTTCAGCAGTTTCTTTTGCTCCGACAAATAGCATCAACTTGGTCAATCCCAAACCCATATAATTGATATCATAAAGCTGACGGCAATTGATTTTTTTTCAGATTACGAGGGTTTGTGAAGCCAAGGCCTTCTTTAGAGTTGTAAAAACGAGTTATCCTTGTTCTGATTTAGAAAAATAGTTTGCTCAGTCTGTCCTCTTTTGGCAATTAAATCTTGGGATAAGGGTCAGATAGAGCCTCGAACTTGAAAAAAAATGTCAAATAAGGCCATATTTAGGATGCTCTGTCCGGCCGACGCCATTTGAGGTGGTTCCCGGTAGAATTTTTTGATGAAATTTTTTGAGAATCTTATTCATTAAGTCTAGTTTACTCATATCAAATTTGAACTAAAACTTTAATCGGGAAGGCATTCAAATGAATTCTTGATGATAACTGTGCCGTTAAAAGCGCAGTTATCTTCATGAATTCATTTGAATGTCTTCCCGATTGAATTGTTAGTTCAAATTTGATATGAGTAAACTAGACTTAATGAATAAGATTCTCAAAAAATTTCATCAACAAATTCCACCGGGAACCACCCCAAATGGCGTCGGCCGGACAGAGCATCCTAAATATGACCTTATTTGACATTTTTTTTCAAGTTCGAGGCCCTATCTGACCCTTATCCCTTAAATCTTCTAATTCTTTGATTTTCTCATAAAGAACACTTATTTTATCAAATAACATTTCTTTTTTGCCTTTTTCACAATTTCATTCTACCTCAGTGTCACTCAACTTCTTAGTAAGTTCTGCGACCTTCTGAGTAAGCATTTCTGCTTTTGAATTTCGCTTTTTCAGCATGTCCTTTTCATTGTCAAGTTGTACACTTAAAGAGGAGATTTTGTCAAGTTTTGTGAGAATGTTTTTGTAATTGTGATCTAACCTGTCCCTTAACTCCTAATTATATCATCCTTTTCTTGTAAAGAGTGATCTTTGCAAGTACAAGAGCAGGAAGGGTTAGAAATACTTACAGTGTGGTTGAAGCTAGAGCCTTCACCTTCTTCAGGGATCACAACATCACCTTCCACATCTTTCTTTTCAACAATAGCCATCAGAGCTAAATTCTCCTCTTCTTCTTCATCAGAACTCTCCTCCTGCCATGGATCATTCTCAGTAAGCGTCGCAGCACCATCATCATCTTGCTTTGCCATGAACATCTTCTGCTTGTTCCATAGCATCTTCTGCTTGTAGTAGTTGAAGTCCCTCTTCCTTGGAAAGCGACAATCCTTGATGACATGTCCTGCCTTTCCACAGTTGAAGCATTTGGGAGGGTCTTCTGCTGTGACAGCTCTACTGGATGAGTTCTGGTCATTGTTCTTTGATTTGTAGTTGGCAGAGGAGGTTCGGAGCTTATTGGATGAGTTTCCCTTTTTGACAAACTTATTGTTGAACTGATTGGTGAGTAGTGCCATCTTCTTCTGCAGCTCAGCCAACTCAAACTCAACGTCAACTTCTTCTTCACTTTCTTCTTCATCAGATTCCACCTTGACTGCCTTCTTTTTACTCTGGACCTTAGATGAACTCTTTGATTTAGCATCGATCATGAGTGCTAATGGATTAGCAGAATAGCTTCCTTCCATCTCAGCAGTGTCATTCACAAACTGCTGCAGATGCTCATGAAGTGTGCAGAGGTCCAGTTCATCTTAGTCCAAATGTTGTCTCATGTTCTTCACAGTTCTCTTCCACTCTGGGTGCAAGCTCGACAGGAAACGTATGTTCATTTCCATATTTGATTTAACAACCTTGATCTTTCTCATTTTATTGATTAGTTGTACAAATCTGTTGTATGTTTCATGGAGCGCTTCACCAGGTAGAGCTTTAAAAGCATCATATGCAGTCAGGATGTTTGCCTTCTTTGTTTTCAAACCCAAATCAGTTCCAATCATCAGTTTCTTTACTTCATCCCACATCTCCTTAGCCGTTTGCATGCTATCAATCAGGATGTAGATGTCGTTACGAATAGCTTGGAGCAGATACGTTTTAGCCATCAGATCTGCCTTGATTCTGAGCCTGTCTGCTTCAGTGTACTCGGACTTCGCTTTCAATCTTCTTTCTACATTGACGGGAGGATTGTTTACACCATCCAAAGTCACATCCATCCAGATTTGTGCTGGCCCTTCAGTAAGTGATTTCAGCATAGCAGATGAGTTGTCTTTTCCTTCAAGAAAGTTCAGAAACCTCGTCCTCCACATCTGATACTCTCCTCTTCTCAGGATTGGAGGTCTGTTTTCATTTCCGAGTGCTAATGCTTCCATCTTTGCTGTTGTTTTAAAGAGTTTGACCGTTCGAGTGTTTTGATCAAAAAGTTACAAAAACAGAATATCGAAAACCTAATTCAGGAAACAGTTTGAGAAGTAGAGTTCGAGAACTACTGTCGAGAAGCAGTTTTCGATATTTGATATCGAGAACCTTACTATCGAAAAGTTGGTTCGAGAAATAGCTATCGAGAACCTCAGTATCGAGAACTTAAGTTCGTGAACTTAGTTTTCGAAAAACTGAGTATCGAGAAGCTGGTGTCGAGAACCTGCAAATACGAAAAGTAAGATTTCGATATAGAGTATCGAAAACTGAGTATCGAGAAGTTGACGTCGAGAACTCAGTTCGAAAACTGTTATCGAGAACGTAGTATCGAAATCCTGCAAATTGAAAAACAGTTTTTAAGCAGATAAATCAACTATTCGGTCAATTCTTTGATCTCGAGAACCTTTCAGAGTAGTTTGTAGTTCGAAAAACCTGTAGAAATCACGAGAACCCTGCTTTTCGACATTACAATATCGAGAACTTCAAAAATTCAAGTTTACTGAAATCGAAGAATACACTATACTCTTGGTTCGTTTTTAACTGGTGAATCCAATGGTATAACTTTTACAGATTATCGATCAGAAACAAGATTACACGGCTTAAAACATAAAAATATCGAAAAGCGTAAAAACAAAGGATTTCGAAAACTTTTTCTTCGTCGATCACACTCGAGATGGCTCTGATACCAGTTGCTGATCCCAGTTTATGCAGACAAACATTCAGCTAGATGGATATCATCGATAAACAGAGAAGAACGATTTCACAGAATGATATAAAGATTATCGAGAACAGAGAAACCTTCTTTCTATTATATCGAGAAGTATTTTAACAGCGTAAGGCTAGAGAATGTATTCGACTACTACGGTACCTGTGCAGGACGCGCATATTTATAGGCACTGCACATGTTACCGAATTAGGTTACCTAGAAGTTTGGGCCCTAGAGCCTTTTTGGGCCCTATTCCTTTTACTCCTATTTATTACACAGTAATATTAAAACTAGTACCATAAATGGTATATCTATTCTAATTTATTTAAACAAGACATTACAGACAAACTTGACTCACAATAAAAGTTCTAACAGAGTGAAAATCTTGTAAGATTAGGACACAAGTACACAACTGAAAGGCGCCGTTCACAATTATTACACGTTGCCGCCCAAAAATTAAAGTATTGCTCAATCCCAATAACGGTATTGAGAACTGGAGCAGAAATGACAAAACCAGACCCTTCAAGTATCCGTACGTTCTTCTTCACACTAATTTTGTACGATCACCCTTCCGAGGAAAACTATATAGGCTTAGCTCTCCCCTGTCGAGCGAATTACAACTTTCAAGGAAACACATAGAGAAGGGAGCTCTAAGAAAATGGTAGGTAACTGTACAGATTCAAATGTATCTGCATTAGCATATGTCCCTGAAAAGATACGAATGTATTTATAGTGCCATGTATATTATCATCACATGTATTGTTATTGTATTTTAGCTAGCTTTATATTTCAACACCCACATGGGATGCTATGTACGTAGGATATTAGTTCTTTATAAGCATGTACTCTCCCTCGAGAAATAGTGAAAAAAAAAAAACAATTGCAATATTTGTTTCCTTGGTATCATTATTTTACTTTAGCATGGTATCAGAGCACACCTTCTCCTTTCCAGTTTTTTCTCCACAATCATACACGGCCATCTCTTTGTTTTTCCTATGACAACTCCTATTGACGAAGTTTCCTCCATTACAGCCTCACCAACTATGGAGTTTCGCCGAAAAATCAACAATCCGTCTTCTCCGTATTATCTTTCGAACTCCGACATTCCCGGTATAAACATATGCGGTGTTACTCTTCGTGGAGAGTCCAACTATCGTGAATGGGCAACCGCTACGAAAAATGCATTTCGAGCAAAACGGAAACTTGTTTTTTTGGATGGTTCAATCTCTCGACCGACGACCAACAATGATGACCTAGACGATTGGTATAGTGTTAATTCCATGTTAGTGGGGTGGCTTATGTCTTCCATTGACCCGGCGGTACGTTCCAATGTCGCCTATATGGATAGTGTCCATGATCTTTGGGATGATTTAAAAGTGCGCTTTGACGTGGCGGATCCAATGCGCATGCATGAACTCAAGGACGCCATTCGATCTTGTAAACAAGCTGGTAAATCCGTTACGATCTATTTTGGCCGTCTCAAATCCCTTTGGGATGACTACTCCAACTATCGACCCTTACCACAATGCAAGTGTGGTGGGTGCTCTTGTAAACTGGACAAAGAATTTCTCAAAAGTGTGGAAATTGAAAAAACACATGAATTTCTCATGGGTCTGGACAACGACGTTTATGCCACTCTACGCTCAAATGTTCTTAGCATGACATCCCTACCTCCCCTAAATAAGGTTTATCAACTGGTGGTTCAAGAAGAGCGTCATCGTTACGTCACCCGCGCTCAGGAGAATAGCAACGATGCGGTGGCTTTCGCCATCCGACCAAGCCGCTCTTTCACCACCGACAGAGAAAAATTATTTTGTACTCATTGTAAGAAAGATAACCATGATATCAAACATTGCTTCAAGCTTTCTGGAAATTATCCAGAATGGTGGTTCACAAATAAGGGTGGCCGCGGGCGCGGCTATAGCCTCGGAACCGGTAGGGGCAGGGGAGGTCCTACCTCGGTAACCGCTCATGCAGTTCAAGTTAACGAAGCTCCCACATGTTCCTCTGCACCAATTGATCGTGCGTCCCTGCCAATGCTTTATGATGCACAATGGAGTGATTTTCTAAAAATGCTCCAAAATGGTAAAAACTCATTTTCAACAGAGAAGCTCACAGGTAACAAAATTTTCATTGAGTGGATATTGGACACTAGGGCATCTTTTCACATGACGAGCTCCAGATCTATTTTGTCTAATTTATCTCCTATACCGCCCATTCCGGTTACTTTACCAAATGGGGAAATAACTATGGCAACACACATGGGTTCCCTTATATTCGGGCCAACATTTACACTTCCGCATGTGCTTTATGTTGCCGGTTTGGCGTGTCATTTAATCTCTGTGGGACGCCTAATTGATGATTTGTGTTGTCATGTTACATTTACTAATAAGTTTTGTGTGATACAGGACCTCTCTTTGAGGACGCTGATTGGAGTGGGTGAACGATGTGGTGGGGTCTACTACTTTGTTGGTCCAGGGGTGGTTCAAGCTCATAAGGCAACTAGTGTGGATCCATATGATTTATGGCACCGACGACTTCATCATGCATCTTCTAAAATTATTTCTTTGCTTCCAGTTTTTCATAATAAAATAAACAAGGGCGGCTCCTCCAATAAATTTTGTGACGCTTGTATGCGGGCTAAACAGTCCCGAGAAGCCTTTCCCTTCAGTACTAGTCGTGCTTCGGAGTCTTTTGAATTAATACATTGTGACGTTTGGGGGCCATATCGTATACCCTCATCTTGTGGGTCTCATTATTTTCTCACCATTGTTGATGATTTTTCTCGGGCTGTTTGGGTGCATTTATTCACTACCAAGACTGAAGTTCCTCAATTAATTAAAAAAAATTCGCAATGGTGTGGACTCAATTTACCAAAAATATTAAGATTGTTCGCCGTGATAATGGTACAGAATTCCAAACTTTGCGACTTTTTTTCCGGAAAAAGGAGTAATTTTTCAAACTTCGTGTGTTGCTACACCTCAACAAAATGGTCGGGCCGAACGCAAGCACCGTCATATTTTGGAAATTGCCCGGGCCCTACGATTTCAAGCGAACTTACCAATTTCTTTTTGGGGTGAGTGTGTTCTTGCTGCCGGTTATCTTATCAATCGCACCCCTTCAATGCTAAATAAAGGAAAAAGTCCGTTTGAATTTTTATATGGGCAGCCTCCATCATATGATCATCTCCGGACTTTCGGTTGTTTATGTTACGTTTATCAGAATAAGCGTGATAATGATAAATTTGCTTCCCGCAGTCAAAGGTGCGTATTTTTGGGTTACTCCTATACTCAAAAAGGATGGAAACTTTTTAATTTGGAGACGGAGCGTCATTTCATCTCAAGAGATGTTCGATTTGATGAATCAATTTTCCCGTTTGCAAAAATGGAGTGTTCTGATGACCAAACAAATAATTTTACATATCCAAATGAAATCCTCTCCACTACTGGCAATAATTTGAGTGATTTGGCTTTACATAACACCTGGATGCATGCACTAGCAGAGGATGACTTATCACCTTTGCCAGCTATCACAAATAAATCAGGAGTGTAAATACCCTTGGGCCCCACATCACCACCAACTACTGAAACACTTTCACAAAACCATCACATGCAGCACGCCCCACCTTCTGGCCAAGAAATGAAAAACTGTTGGAAATATGATGATATAAATGTTATTTTGAGGGTCACAAATTTTGTGCCCTAAGATATAATTGTATCAAATATGGAGTGGAGGCTGATAATACATCAAAGAACAATTTACATATTTGGATTTAAAATTATAGTCAGAATCCATAGTTGTAAAGGTTGTAAGTGATGTATTAAAAGAATGAATTTATTTGTTCCGTCTCGTGTGATTATTTAAATCATTATATGCTAAGGAACATTGTTCAAGTATCATATAAGGAGATATGACATTTTAATATTTCACTTATATGTGTGTCTGATTGGACATATTATAAGTGATGAAATTAGTGTCATAACTTTGGAGACTCTAATATTTTGGACAATGCAATATTGTAGCTAACGGCTGTGAGATTGAATTTTTTTCTTTAAATTCAAAATGATCACACTTAGTCAAGTACAGTGGCGGCTTGAGAATTTCAGAGGCCCTAGACGAAAAAATATTTACTACACCAAATCATATTGAAAATCAGATATAAATGGAATAAAAAATGTCACAGAGTATTTAACATCTACAAATTCAGGAGTTTACCTCATAAATAGAAAAATTATACTCCATAATTAAATAAAAGATAATACAACATAAGAAAAATAAAAATATTATTATACCAAAGTATATTGGTTTTAACTAAAAATAAAATACATTATGGCTTAAATGGAAAATACATAATCCATATAAATATGACACCAAGTACAATTTTTTTTTTAAAAACTACATAAATACATTTGATAGATGATACAAATAATTGGGAAGCATATCAATAGTGTACGGAGTAATTAATTATGTAGTATCTAATAAAAATGTCTTGAGTTGAAATGGTATAAAACTCACTAGCAACGTGAATGCACAACTAAGCACCGTTAGCTTGAGTGGTAGGGAGTTCACAATTTTCGAGTTCAGGTTGTTGCCTTGTAGGTTTGATTCCTACGGAGGGCGCGTTTAATTTTCTTTACTATCTAGTTCATGCTTCACACGTTTTCTACCCCTAATACTTATTTTTAATTTTATTTTGGAGGCCCCTTTGGTAGCTGAGGCCCAAGGCAGCTGCCTGGCCCAACTGGCCCCAAATCCGCCCCTGGTCAAGTAGCTATTGATGGGATCCTAAAAACTTGGACCAGTTTAGCCGTTCACTATCCATTGCTTAAATGCATAGTTATATCTGATTTCCGTTGGACTGTTATCCCTCTATTTCCTGATTCCATTATACAAAATATAAATAACTATCCCTGCATGTTTTTTTTTCGAGCAGAGCACTTACGCACACACCAAAGAAAAGCAAAACTTCATTCTCTAGCTTTCTCCTTTAAATCATACATACATACGATCAAATCAATTCTGATTTGAGTGGGTCTCTTATTTGTTATCTTTTCCTTCCAATTACGAGTGCGTATAATCCGTATATTATACTCCGTGTTTTCGTAATTGTTCAAAGTAAACTCTATCTCTTGGCAAATTTGGCAACGGTCGAAGGTTTCAGTCAAGGTAGCTACGAGCCTGAAACGTGGTAGGATTATCCTGGGAGCGAGCTAGTCAGACCCGTCCGAATAGCTATCGGGATACGGGGGCTATCTTTCTTCAAGGCCAGTCCGTTTTAACGGGCGATCCTGCGATAAGCTTTCTTATCTTTACTATTATTTCATTTCAATTCATTCTAATTATTATTATTATTATTTTCTTTTCTTGCATTTGGCGGTTTGTCTGGTGATTTGTTTAAACTCGGGATTTTTATCTGGTTAAACTCGCAATTTTAATATCATTTTTCTAACAATCTTGAAGAAAGATATTATTTCTCGAGTTTTGGAAAATCCAAAATGGCAAACTTGGAAAATGCAGTTTCCGAAAATGTTGTTGTTGAGAATAATGTGGATGAAATCCCTGAAAATAATGTGTCTGTGACTAATTGTGGAGACACACTTGACTATGTTGCTACGGGCTCGCAAAGAATTGATTTAACTGGAATGCTGGAAAAATTTTCTGGGCATTTTTTCAAGCGTTGGCAACAACGTATGAAAATTTGGTTAATCACCAAGGGCTTGCTCTCGGTAATTATGACGGTGTGTCCCCCCGTTGTTGAATCAGATCCCAAAAGTCTTGAACGCCAAGCTTTATGGCGTGAGAGGGATGAAATTGCAAAAGGCGTGATTTTGTTGGGTCTCTCCAACATGTTATTTGATGTCTATTGCACCCTCCACGGCACGGCTAAGGACCTTTGGGATGAGTTGGATAAGAAATATAATACTGAGGACCACGGTCTTGAAAAGTATATTGTTTCTAAATTCCTACGATTTGACATGAAAGAAGGTAAATCAGTGTTAGAACAGACACAAGAATTTGAGCTTATCTTACATTCTCTTCGTGAAGCGGATATGGAATTGCCTGAAAAATTTAAAGTGATGGCGGTCATAGAAAAATTTCCCAAATCATGGGAAGATTTTGGTATGACTTTAAAACATAAAATGAAAAAGATCACTTGGAAATCTTTGATGCATTCCATTACTGTTGAGGAGGAGCATAAGAAAGCGGGTTATATTGCGCCTGTTGAATTTCAACCGAAGGCTCATGTCATAACTGGGGGAAAGCAAGCACATAATTCTAAAAATAAACACTCACCATCTTTTAAACTCATAAAGGCCAAACTAAAAATTGCAAAGAAACCAAAGGCAAACCGACCATGCTGGAACTGTGGACAGATGGGGCATTGGGCCAAATTGTGTCCTAATAAAAAGGGCCAAGGCTCAATCTGGGGGACCTCAAGTCAACATGGTGACTGGAGGGACTAGTTCTAATGGGTACGTTTCTATTAATCCTCAAATTTTCACTATTTATAATTCCAATGAGTGGCTTATAGATACGGGAGCGAATGTGCATGTATGTGCTGATAAATCGCTCTTTGTTTCTTATCAGCCTGCGGTTGGAAGAACAGTGATGATGGGGAACACAAGTGCTGCAAGTGTGCAAGGAATTGGAAAAGTAGAAATTAAATTTCCTTCGGGAAAAATTCTATCTTTGCATGGGGTGCATCACGTTCCCGAAATTAGAAGGAACATTGTTAGTGGTTCCATTCTTGTTAAGGAGGGTTATGAGCTATCTTTTAAATTAAATAAAGTTGTAATTTTATTTGGCGGAACTTTTATTGGCAAGGGTTACTTGTCGGATGGACTTTTTAAGATTGTGGTTGATTATTTTGAATTAAATTATGTATCTGAGAATTGTGATTCTTCTTGTTTATGGCATTGTCGTTTGGGTCACGTTAATTTAGATTCTGTAAAAAGAATGATGAATTTAAATTTAATCCCTAAACACTCTATTGATAAAACTAAGAAATGTTTGGTATGTGCTACTACTAAACAAGTAAGAAATTCAGAATTACTTGATTTAATTCATACCGACATTTGTGAGTTTAATGGAGTGCTTACTCGTGACCAAAAGAAATACTTTATCACTTTTATTGATGATTATTCTAAATATTGCTATGTGTATCTACTTAAGGGTAAAGATGAAGCTCTTGAAAAATTCTTAATTTTTAAGAATGAAATAGAGAATCAAATTGGCAAGAAAATTAAAAGGTTA